GAAGAGCGTTCATATGCCTTTGGATTCCAGTCCACCGTCTTTTGAAAAATTCTCTTCAATTCAATTCTCCCTCGGCAGTATTTCTTTCCCAATACGTCCTACACGTCCATACCGTATTAATCGATGTTTTCAATGTCTTCTAAAATTGTTTCTTTCACATTCTCTGATGTGCTTATTTATCACGTGCTCCAAACTATGCTTTCGCGCGGCTCTTCTTCAAAAATCGTTCAGAGAAGAGAGGCCGTCAGATTGTTCATAGCTTATCCTTAACTCTTTGTATTAATTGTCACACTTCTGAGCCATTTAGAGCAGCTGGTTTTAATAGGGTACCTTATATTCGTTTTTCTGTGTCTTGTCTTATGTTTGCCTGCCATAATATTGAGATCAGTGCCCCACTACTTGATCTCCTTTGGTTATCCTGTTCTTTATAGCTTCCTCAGTTCGTTATGTCCTCGTCATTTTTATTCCCAGACATGTGCTTTCATCATCTCTTTTTATGTTTTGATCTTCTATCATGCTAATATTACCTTACCATCAAAATCATTTAATTTAGACGTAGCCGGTTTAATCCGAACATGTTTCAGACAATGTTCCTGTGGACATATCCGAAGACATTGTGGGCTTCACCGGTCTGGCTAATTCAATGTTCCTGTGCATTATGTTCGAATTGAACGTTAAAGAATGGTCGCGCGTCTTCTTCCACATCACTGACACATCAAAGTTTGGAATGCCCCCCAAGATGTCCCAGGTTATTGATAAATGCAATCGATTCTCGTGGATCTACTTCCTCTATTGCTGTACCGGGATTATCATCTACGGAATCATCAATATTGTCGATCCAGGTTCACAACAAGAAATTTCGTTAAGTCTTTGGTGAAATGAGGCTCTTTTAGGACCATGTGAACGGTGGAACGCTGAGCACAACATCCATGATGTTTGCAGAACTTTAACGCCGCTCTGGTGGCCTGAGGATGATATTGAGCCCGGATTAAAGACAATCATCGTCATTTGTCAACTGATTTCTTGCAGTGGGTTACAATATTCATCGCGCATGCCTCAACTCTAAAGTCTTTTGTTCAGTTTCCTATGTTCCTCCATCAGCCACGTTGACCTACATCATATGGGAGGCTGGGGAGTTGATAATCGCCAAAATTCACCATCTCAAGCAGCTCTTTGAGAGCGCTTTGGACAACGATAAACTTGAGATTAGAAGGGCCAGGCTACGGTTTTGCATTCAGTATCATCAGGATATTATCAGGTAGGTAAATCAATTTAAATTACTTTCAAAATGGGTGTTGGCTACATTATTTTGTTGTACGAAGCACTATAGAAGAACTGAACGGAGCTGCGAGGAAGGTGTGCGGTCAACTGTCCTTTGTCGCCTCAATTGTCTTCAGTTGCATTGGGACTCAAATGCTTAAAGTGCTTTTGCCACCACTTTTCTTCTTTCGCTATACATTTTTTTTAGGAATACTCCATCCATCCGATGCTCCATTTAATAGGTTATGCGATGGCAGTGTTTTTAGTGTGCCAAAATGGGCAAAAGATCCGAGACCAAGTGAGTATCCAAACAGCTAAATCTGCAAGTTTTTTATGCAACAACTCTTACATCTATAGACTTACGATATTCAGGACGCTGTCTACAAAGCCAGATGGTACGACAATATCACGTCAACTACCAAAGACTCGCAGCTTATTATGTTGCGATGCCAAAAGCCACTTTGCATGGATGCCATTCCTTTTGGAATCTTCAATTTCAGCCTTCTGCTAGTGGTGAGATAACGGATGGTAGGTGAGTGTAGTATTTGCCTTCAATGTGCTGGTTATTTGTTTTAGATTATTAAAACATCGTATTCCTACCTTACTCTGATCAATAAGACATCCTAGATTGATAGGAGTGCAGCAAATTCGCTTGATAGTAAAAGCTGCTCCTAATACCTGTTCAGAATAGCTCACAATGTGACTTGAGGAACAAGCTGACTAGGGAAAGCACAGTTTTCAGTAAATATATGCACCGAACTTGAGCAGCAACCTTTCTACATCCATTATCAACTCAGTTATTTGCAACTTAATAGAACCAGCACAGTACTTTGTTATATTTTCTCTTAATAAATTTAAGTTATGACTATGAACAGACTCTTAAATTAAACTAGTCCTTTCCCTATTTCGGCCAAAGTGTTGCTGTGTAGCAAATTTGCAAAGTTCTCGGCATATGTACTTACGTCCATTTACTGTCTTTGCAGGATGAGAAAATTATTTTTGCCTTGATATGCAGTGTTTTTAAACACCATCACATTGCTGTGAGCGTCAACAATGTTACATTAAACCTGCTTTGTGCTCCTAATTCGAAATAAACGTTCAAAACATGTTTTAACAATGTCACCGCATATGGTACTATCAAGTGCAGTTCGCCAGACATCCGGCGATTTTTGGCTATCGACTGTGCATACGATATCAGATTCACATAAAAATTATTTATACGACAAAAATAAATTCGGTGCATATCCTGCAGTCATACTTGGTAGTACACTGTATACAGGACGCGTTCGTAATACTTATCGACGATGACGACTGTTGAGTTTTAAATTAGGACGGGCGGCGTCCAGCCGATACGTGCAGGTGAATATCCCGTCGATCATTTTCATTAGATATGTATAGAGCATAATTTTTTTACGTTCCTTGTTTCTTTTCTTCTTCCTTGTCTGCTGTGGCGTTGGTTTTTGTGTGATCTTCATGTACTGCTTCTTCCAGTTCATATTTTTTCAGCCACAATTCCATTTTGGCATGTTTGTTAACAGCACCTCATCAACTTGTTACATCTTTAAGATTCAAGTTGAATCAGCATTTCCTCCTTTCGTTTATAGTTGAAGATTTTCAGTACCAGTCAAGTTATTTATTTTTACGTTATTATCTGAAAGCTTTCTGTTTTACTTCGTCTTCCTCTGATTTGTCAGTTGTATTTGTGTGATGTTCTCGTCCGGTTATTTTTTAGAAGCTTTTGTCAACTTTCAGATTTCTTCTGAATCCGCATTTTCTTTTTACTTAATAAACTTTTTCAGCATAACTATAAAATACTTATCGACCTTTTTAAGTTCAGTATTCTGGTTTTTGTGTGATCTTCATTTCTGCTTCTTCAAGCTGATCATTTACTAGCCACAATCCGATATTTTTTTGGTTGGTTAGGACCAACTCCTTAACTTGTTCCAACTTTGGGGTTTATGTTGCATCGTCCTTTCGTATGTGCGTCTTTTCCTCTGAACGATTTTTGTTTTTCTTTTTGTTCCTCTGCTTTGTACGATGTTTTTGTGTGTCTTTTTTCTTTCATCGTGCTGTCGATGCTTTATGAGCTTCAGCTCCATACTCGCGTGTTTTCTAATAACCTTTACCAATTTTCAGATTTTTTTCGAATCGATTATTTTGCTTTAGTAACAGTTGCGGTTTGGTAACAATTTATTGGATTAAATACAGAACGAAAAAAAAATTAATATAAAGTTTAGCCATTTTCCATTTTTTTCTTAAACAGCCTTTCGTTTTAGGTGCTGTAATAGTTTATCTTAATTAATCCCACACATTTTAAACATTCACATTTTCATTGCTCTCTTTCGAAGCATAACGTTCATCTTCATTTGCCAAGCGTTATTTCGCATTTTCGTCCTTTCGATTCGATTGAATCGTTTTTCAATTTGAAAGCAATTCCGTCAATAGTAACAGTATTTTAATCATTTTCGTTACAAATTACAATTAGTTTTATTGATACTATATTTTTTGAAACATTTTTGTATTCTCAACTTCCAGATTCCTCGTGAATGCGCATGTCGTTTTCTGCTTATTAATATTTTTCGGCATAATTGTCAGATACTTTCGCATTAAGTTTAGTAAAAAATTATTGGAACTAAGACAAAACTTAAAAAAACATTCGCATTTTCTTTGCTCCCTTTCTTCTGCTTCTACTGCTTTGTCAGGTGTTTTTGGGTAATCTTCTCCTACTTCTTCATGCTTTTGATAATTCATCATCTTCCAGATGTGAATTAAATCCGCATTTTTATTCTGCTTCTTAATATTTTTCGGCATTAATGTCGAAGAATGTCTTTGAAATTAGGTTCTATAACAATTTATCAGAATAAATACAGAACATTTAAAACATTCACATTTTCTTCCCTCTTCTCCTTTCGAAGTTCTTCTTTATCTTCACTTTCAAGATTTATTTTGCAGATTTTTTTTATTTCTCTGACTAACTCAAGCTGAATCTCATTTAATCGATTTTAAAATTCACCAGTCACATCCAAGTCTATGGATACTCTGTTCTATGATCCCTAAAAATCCCTTACTATTATTCAAGTTGCGATTAACAGGAACTAATCCGTCTATAGTCACTTTCTTTTAACTTTTTCGTCCTTATAATTCGGAACATTTTACTATATTTCCTGAACATTTTCTGAATTATTTATTCTTCCTTTGCTTTGTCAGCTTTTTGTGTGACCTCCTACTTATTCATGCTGTTGATGATTTTTCAGCTACAGTTCCAGACCCGCTTGTTTATAACAGATTTTCCCAACTTCCGAATTTACCTTGGATCCGCTTCTTCTTTCGTACTTATTAACGTTAATCAGCATTCTGTAAAAGCCTTTCATTTCAGATTTTGCAATAATTTATCGTAAGAAATACAGACCATCAAAAAATTCACAATTTCTTTGCTGTCTTTGAAAGCAAAGCCTTTATATTGCACCTTTTTCCGTTTCTCTTGGAATAACTCAGGTTGGACCCCATTTAATCGCTTTATAATTTTAAATCGTCCTCGAATCTATTTGTACTCTGTTATATCATTCCCAAAGAGCCCTGAAGATGGTTAGAAAAGGTTTGAAACCAGGGTCCAAGGAAAACAGTGTTTTCATTTCGGCAAACCTTTGACCGAAACCACTTTCATGCTTATATAAATTATATTTATTTACTCCTGACTAAGTCTTCGTGTTCTGTCTTCTTTATTGATTCAGCTTTTTTTCATTTTCCATGCAGAAGTCCGACGCTTTAAAGAAAATTGCTCAGATTTGCAAGTCGGATGATGGATTAGTTGACGAAATGAACACCCTGAAAACAAATACTTCCATTCTCCTCCGGGAAATTTTTTGATCTTAAAACCAGAGAAAAATAGCTAATGGCAGCTTTGACGAGGTCGCCTTATACTGCCTCTAAGGCCATTAATTCAATTCGTAAGTTGCTTTAACCATTAAAATAAAGATTCCTGAATTAAGCCGATCATAAGGCTCGTCTATAGAGACATTATTAGGATCGTGGCATGTCTTGACTACATTCATCACGTGCGGCATTATGTGTTTAATTGGATGAGTTAATTTCTTACGGAGAATAACAACCTGCCCGAAGGACCGCGAAGTAATAAATTTGATGGAAAGGCCAATTGCTTTGTAGAATTTCGCGGCGATCGCCGTTGCGTGATATGGGTGGATTGTTGGTTCAGTACCATATCGATTTGAAACTTCCTTTCAGGGTTCCCCTTAGCAACTCTGAATTACAAATTCAATAAGTTCCCTGGTTTGGAACAATCAAGAAGGAAATATACGAGCCATTAATATTCATCCGAGGAGAGGCGACTTTCTTTAAACAGAACCATCGCCAGTACCATCACGTAAACAGTTGACAAGCGGCGATATGATTTAGTTAGGTATTACTCGCTTTTTACCACCGGAAGGGCTCCTGTCCGCCGGAAGAACAAATCCATCAAAATGAAAGTCACGTTTTTATTCTCCGGATTTTGACGGGGCAATGGTAACGTTTGCACAGGGCGTTTAGTTCTCACGTTTTGATGCTGACTTTCTACAGCAAACGGAACTATTCGCCCAGTCGGTAAATCTTCCATCCATGGGAAGAGATAACACCCTGTAATACGTGGCTCACGAAAAACATGTCGGTAGTCTGCGGAAAAACGTATGTAAGTAATTAAAAGTAAACGTATTTTCTAATTAATATCAGGTTGTAGTTTTTATCCGTTTCTGGGATATATTTCTTCATTTGCAGCACCGCAAGACGTGGACGTGTTGACCTGTTGAAAAGTGGGCAATTATTGCCTCAATCTCCTCTTAGCTATCTGAATACATCGAGTTTGATAAAATGAGCTTATACGTAATATACGGAATAATATTATTTGCAAAACTAAGCTTTCATCAGACAAAATAAATGTATTCCTTTTGGAGAAACAGTGTATTCCTTCTGGAGAAACAGTAATATTTCCCGAAGATTCCCTCTCATTCCCAATTAAGACCAGCGAATGTAACAAATTGATAAAGGGGAATAGCCTGTTTATGATTTGAGCGCCGAACGGGCTGCTCAAAAAAATATCTGAATTGAAGTAAAATTATAGGACTTTTGAAAAATTGGATTTAATTTCTGAGTAACTCTAGCACAAGAGATACTATTGTATGTGGCCCCAGATTTCCTCATTTAGCATTTATTGAATAGTGTGTTTTCACTTTTTTTAAATGTTGATATATAGAAAGTATGTATGGCAAACATTACACTGATATAATATTTTTTGCAAAAAAAAGTCTCCATAATAATTTTAAAGCAAATTTAAAAATCCGAATCCGTATCGTCGGTTGCCTATCCCGATTGTGACGTAGCAGGTCATATCAACAAAGTGTCTCGTGTTTGTTTTGTTGTTTTTGCAGCTTTGTTTTATTATTTAAGATATTGTGATTAACATTATTTTATTCATTATCAATATTATCTTGCGTAATGGAAAATATTGACATGTATGGATAACAAAATAAGTGGTGTTTTGTGCCAGGATGCAAGAATACCTCAATGAGTGCTCCAAGCAAACTCTTTCCAACCGTTCCTCATGATTATGCACATAAAGTTGTATGGTTCAAAGCAGCTAGGCGTGATAATCCTAAATGAAAATCAATGTTTTTAGTTGCTAGGATCATTTTAATGAAAGTACGATCAAAAAGCTAATGATGAGGTAGATGCCTTCGATCGTACTTTGTGTTCTGGGCAAATTCTACCTTGTACAGTGCACAAAGAACCCTCGCGGTTCAATTCCACATATCCCATATCACCATATTGTTCTCGTGATGCCCAAAATACAAATTTACGAGTTCATTTTACTTTTAA